GGGTGAGCGACGTCCTGCCGCGGCGCCGGAGATGGCGGAAGAGCGACGGCATCTTCGGAAGGGAACCAAAAACCGAAGTGACCTAGGCATTTTGCGCCCCTTTAATCTGCAATGGCAGTCATCGAAGCGTTTCTCTCTCACTACGAGGAAATTCTAGGAAACCACATTCGAGATTGGTTTTTGCACCCAGGAGCAATACGTTGGCAATTGAAAGTTCTACAATTCTTTGTTCGTTAATTAACAACATGAGCAAGAAAATATGTAAATACAACCTCGATTTTATAAAATGTGAAATCCATCGATCTCCAACTGATAACAAATATACATTCGCCCTTAACATTACAAAATTACCCATACAACTCAGATCGAAGAAGCAGTCTGCTACTATCTGAAAATGAACGAAGCAAAGAGAATATAAAATACGTGGCGCCTCGAGTAATAGTGGATAGACCCACGGGTTTTCTTGTGATGGTCCCATGGGTAGCATTGCGTTTTTATTGATTTGAACCATATTGTTGTTTTCAAGTCTTCTGGGTCCTGTTCGATTTTATCACAATTGAACAAAGCAAGAAACAGTCCAGGTATTGGAAGTGAAGTATCAAGTAGACCATGGTAGAATAAAATATGTACTCGTCCTGGCATGTGTGCAAATGCTCTTTTTTACGAAGATAATTTGACGAAAGATAAAAATGGCACACCTGTCTATTTTCGGACATTGTAGGAACGATGTTGGCCCATTGCTTTATGGTCCGGAAAAGGCAGCAAAACAATTTTCTCTGCACACTACACCAACACGACATTTAATGATAATTATCGTACCACGAATATTGAAATGATGAAATTATATTCATTGTTTGTAACAACAATTACGAATAATTTGTAGTAGGTCGATAAGATCTTAAGACCACGTCCATGACAAATTATTCTTCTTGAAAAGGGAGTTTCCAGGAAATTGAAAATTAAGCCCGTATAGCCCGTATATTTGTTTCCCTCGAACTAATTTTCGATTATCACTGAATAATATATTCTTCGAGAATCGGATATACACAATCAATTCGTTCATATTGATATTTTCCTAGTAGTTTCATTATATTCCGCCCACTATATTATAACATGGCTTAATAATTCATTAATATTTCTAAGTTGTCGCAAAATCGCACTGAGAAATGTTTCGAAACATAATCGAAGTAGCAGAATTTTGATTTGTTCGCTGTCGACATTAGCCTTGTCAGTGATGAGGAACTGTCAGGACAGCATTATTCTTATTTTTTATTTATCTAATACAAACAATAAAATTGTATGCAACTTATGGAAGGAAGTACACCATCCTGCCACGTTTTATAGAGCTCGAAAACCTGTCCAAATCTAATAAAACCTGTAACGACTTAAGCCTACCTACTTTCCGCTCACCGGTAGTATTCGAGATTTTTTTCACATTTACATTTCACGGTGGGAACAACCCACAATGTACCGTATAATCACCATACGACGTGCATGCCGTACGGTGTAATACGAGCGTGTGAAATTGTTCCAGTAATGATAGCTTGTCTGCCCGGGAAACATCGCCTCCTTGGCTGAGTCGCCTACGTTCCGTCCATCTTTCCGCGATTTTCTTCACGGCAAGCGTCACAAAAGCGTAATCGCGAGTCATTGGAGTTGTCGGTGCCTCTGGTGACCTGCTGTGCCTCTTCTGTCCTCCCGCCCCACTGTCACTCCTCTCTGGCTGGCCCTTGCCGACTAACGTCCTCTGTGAACTAAGACTGAACTTCCGAGCTAGTTCTTGCAACCTCTTCTACATTTCGCTCTGTTTTGCCCTTTAGTTATGCCACAGCTGATGCCGTACGAAACTTTATCCCCCAACGAAACGCAATTGATATCATCGGATGAGCATGCACCTGGTTGAGTAATGACTGCAGAACAAGTTTCGTGGAGGCCGGTCGCCATTGTGAGTTCGACCTCTCAGGAGGGAGATGGATATTTAATTTTCCTTCTTATGCTGGGAAGAAAGGAGAGGATCCCTGATTCTGTAGCCAATGCCACGCGAGAATTAACTTCGAGAACACAGTTTTAATAAGAATTAAGACAAAGTAAATAACATGAAATGCAGTTGAGGAATATATTATTT